ATGTGACTCATAATGCAAATAAGTCATAAGAACTAATCACTTATGTGACTGTCGGAAGACCTACTCATTTGCTTACTTACCAATATTTACATGTATATCAGTCACATGATCTACTCATCAGTCACATGATCATGTTTTCCACATGACCTACAGTACTATACTAATTTTCATAAATGTCATATGACCTAAGTACTCATTTGCATGGTTGTCACATGAACTTCTCATTTATATATTTGACACACCATTCATTTGCATGTTTGTCACAAAAGTCAAAACATACTCATTTGCATACTTGTCACATGGACCAATAATATATATATATATACTTGTTACATGACCTACTCTCATTTGCATACTTTTCACATTCTTGAATTTTTGAAATATTTTTCTGTATTATAATACCTTAACTGTATATTGTTTAATGAGGACTGTCTATTTTTTTCATTGTAATTATTGTGCAGGACCATTGTTAAAAACAGGCCTGAAAATGTATCCTGGGTAAAGATGTTTTGAATAAAAAATAAATAAATTGGCATACTGTACTTGTCACATGACTTCCTTACCTCCATATTTCACTTTAACTAATCACTTTATTTGCATGGTTTTCTATGACCTACATATTTGCATGCTTGTCAAATTTCTGTCAAAAAGATAAATGTTCACATACTCAATACCAGCAACTTTTACTTAATTATCGTAGAAGCCATGGTCTCAAACACATGAGTTATAAATTATTATATATTGCTTAATTTTATGATTGATAACATTGGCAGGTCTGAATATTGTATAGTAGTACTGTAGGTTGTCTCCAAAGATGGATACAATTTAGAAAGCTTGTTTTATCTGGTTATATCGCAAATGCTCATTTATGTACTTTTATTAGGGTTCCTGGTCCACTTCATATTTCCGTTGTGGGGTTGTATTGTGGGAAAGAACAAGGCTGTTCCATTTCCTTATAAGCTAAGCTGATTGAAAGTGACTTATAAAATGACCTGAATTTGTAAATTACTATTAGTAGTCAAGATTTTTAGTAAAAACTTTTTTTTTTCTATTAGTAATCAAGTTCTCTTTTCAAACTAAAAATATTTTTTTCTACACTATGTCTTTTTTTCTAATAATGAAATATATCTCCTTAATCTTTTTGTCAAAATCTTCACACTAAAATATGAAATTGTTTTCTGTCTAGCTATGCTGACAATTATTTATTCAGCCATTTTAAACTGTAATTTTGTTTAAACTACTAAATAGATCCAAATAAGTGAAATAGCTCACAAATTTATCAACAGCTAATGAATAGAGTTTGACAACAATTTACCATGATCTACTGTTTTCATAGCAGATGCAGTCCAAAATTATCACAATGAGAGCACATTTTAAAGTCTGTCCACACTACAGGTTTTCTGTGACAAATATCTGTAATTTGCCTAGAAAACTGTGTGAACAGGACCTAAAATAAAAACCAGTTTTTACAATATTTTACATCAAAAGGAAAAAAAAAACGTCACATTAATGTTAATAAATTATAACATTTAAAGTGAAAACAATTTTCATTTCAATTTTCTATAACAAAAAACTGAAAAATTAATATTACTATAAGGGACTAAAAATATAAAAGGCTTTTCTTTAACACAGCAGACTTCAGTAGTATCTCAGTTAGAATGTAGATTTTCAGGTCGAACATATATGAACAGTTTTACAGAGAAAATGGTAGTAGTAATACAAAGTAGTAAATTAACTAACAGTTATATTAATTATTCATGAAACATATCAACACATTAAACATTACAGCAGACAATAGCAGGGCCTATAAAGTTCTATAGATTTTCAGGTCTAATACAAAAATATGGACTATTACAGAGAAAATGGTAGTAACAGTAGTAGTAAAATAACTAACAGTTGTATTTATTTATGAAGCATAACAACGCAGAAACATTACATTTCATCACAGCATTGACATAAATCCCAAAATCTTATTCAATACAAAACCCAAGACATAAAAAGTATTGTCATTTTAATGTGTACTTATATATTATATTACATCAGGAAATAAAGTAAGAACCTATTCATTGATCTGTTTATCAAACATTATATTACATCAGGGAATAAAGAAACGGTAGGTTTAAAATTCAGTACCAGCTTTAGAAAATTCATACTTCTATGTTCCAGTTAAAAAAACATCCTTTACTTCTCTATTGTGTGATTGGTTGTCACGATCACATAAATGGGACAACAACTGAGGAATAGTATCCTTCAAGTACACAAATGAAATGATTAGCATTGGATTCGAACACTTGACCTCAAGATTGAGAAGACAAACTGCATCGTCATCTACTCTATCTTTATTTGTCAAGTATGAATGAGCTAAGATGCCGACAGTACAGTTGCCATGGGAACACAACAGCCATTAAATACAGATGACAATGAAGGAAATTAAAAGCATCAAAAGGTCAAACAAATAAATGGTCTCCCTCACAACTATACTAGTTGCTCAAATTGCTCAATTGTATATAAGCCCTGTTCAGACTGTCAAATATCATTTGACAAAAACATGTGACATGCCTAAATATGGTCATGATGACATCACATCATGACCATATACAGGCACATCATGACTATATATGGGCATACAACAGATTTTTATTAAAGGAAATTTGATAATGTGGAAGAGCTTTAGTCCATCGAATAAATTGTACAAAATTTACAGCGCCCTAATTCTAAAATTGATATTGATGTGCAATTGATTCTATGTGTGGTAATTTTTTGTTTTTCAAAACATGACTTGCAATTTAATCAAATTCAAACAAACTTCTCACTAGTGCTGCTTGATTTGGAGGTGTTATAGGTAGAACACTGTACAAAATTTCAAGTCAGATTCCCTATCTTCAATATGTTTCTCTTTTTAAAAATAAAGAATTTATTTTTGTGTTAACAATAATTGTTAAAAATATTTTTCATGTCATAATAATATATGGAACGTTTTCGAGTAAGCACTTGACAAAAACAAAGCAAAATAACGCAAACCAAGTTGTACTACTGTATAGTATAGTAATACTATAACTTCGCATCCAAATTGTCGTAGTATGCTGCACAATGTATTGCAAATTTCTCACATTTATAAAATTTTCTTAAAGATCCATTAAAACCTGGTTAGGAATACCCAGAATGCACTGCTTCCACTTATCAGGATCTCTATCAGCTGAATCCCGTATGGGGGCCTACCGGCAGGTCTTTACATGAACAGTTATTGGAAGGGAATACTCACCCCACCCCACCCAAAAAAAAAAAAACCCACCCTTTACCCATAATACCTTTTTTCAGTTGATAATATCTTCAGTTAGAATGAGGCCAAACAGTTACGAAAATACCCTCATTTGAAGTCATGTTTTTATGACCAAATATAAGATGCTATAAAATACACGCAGTAGAAATGTTTCTCTTTTTAAAAACAAAGAATTTATTTTTTTTTCATGTCATAATAATATATGGAACGTTTTCGAGTAAGCACTTGACAAAAACAAAGCAAAATAACGCAAACCAAGTTGTACTACTGTATAGTATAGTAATACTATAACTTCGCATCCAAATTGTCGTAGTATGCTGCACAATGTATTGCAAATTTCTCACATTTATAAAATTTTCTTAAAGATCCATTAAAACCTGGTTAGGAATACCCAGAATGCACTGCTTCCACTTATCAGGATCTCTATCAGCTGAATCCCGTATGGGGGCCTACTGGCAGGTCTTTACATGAACAGTTATTGGAAGGGAATACTCACCCCACCCCACCCAAAAAAAAAAAAACCCACCCTTTACCCATAATACCTTTTTTCAGTTGATAATATCTTCAGTTAGAATGAGGCCAAACAGTTACGAAAATACCCTCATTTGAAGTCATGTTTTTATGACCAAATATAAGATGCTATAAAATACACGCAGTAGAACCTAGAATGTAGTGACGTCACTAATATTTCATTCTAAGACAAGTTTGACCAAATCCATGTTGTGCAGAGAACGTAAAACGGTCACACAAGAGTAAACCCATTCTAGAGTCGCTTTGTGGCGTAAATAAAAAAAAAATTCCCTAATGCCTTTTACATGGAGCTATGAATATTATCATTATTATATTGTTATAGTTTCACATAGTCAATCACTGCATACTGTACCAGTATTTATAAAAAAAAGGTTCATTTTCTTAATTACAAAGTAATTGTTCTACTGTATTTAATAGTAAACAAATTTTATCCTTACTGATCAACTGAACTCATTGAAGTGAATCAAACTTGGTAACTTGGTTGACGCAACACTTAATATTATCAGTCGGCCTACAGGTACAGTATTGTAGAGTATCAGAATAAAAATATCACACTTGCAACACCAATCACGTGGGAAATATTTGGTCACCTGACAATAGCACAGGTCACTGTATAAACGCCATAACCAAAACAGACCTTGATATTATAGGTACTTGTACAGAGGTCAATGTAGGAACCAAAATATTATGTAAGGCCCTCCCAATGCCAAACATGGGGCCAGCTTGACTCCCTTTTAATCTGCCACTGGAAACCTTTGTGTGAGGTGTGGACAATTATGCCCTAGGATAGTTCTTGTAAATTAACTTTTGCAAACTTAAGGGCAAATCATCAAGCAATTGCTCATACTAAGATAACAGAAAATTCACGCTCACCACACCTTCACACACAAAAACTGACCCTACTTTTATTGGTCATAGGGCTAGGCCTAGGATATATTATAGGTAATAACCAATATTTAGTTTAGGTTTTGACTAGACCTAGGCCCTACCTAGGCCTAGCCGCTATGTAAGTATGACCTACCTAGGTCTAATCCTACAATAAATATTTAACATTGACGAATTTTCAGTAATACTAAGGAATTGTTACAACTCCCTGGTAATACACACTGCCCCTTGTGATACAACAGTTTAAAACACAACAAATAAAATACATAAAGAAAGTAAATTGTATGTAAAATTTAAGTTTTACCATTTCGATTTGCTTGGATAATAACCGGCTGTCCTAAAAGATGTGCTGGTAATGATCTCGCCTGCTGTAGTCTAGAGCTGCCAGCAGCTAGTAAATTGTCTGAATCAAGAGATCTAACCCCTCTTGTAGCTGCAATAGTCAATGGGCTACCACTTGGCCCAGTCCCTAAAGACCTAGCCCTACTCCTCGGCTGGCTAGGCCCAGGAGGAGGTGCCCCAAAGGCGGGCAATCCGCCGCCACCGTTTTGGTGTCCATTTCCAACCAACACAATGCTGTTTCCTGCAGGCGAGTTTGGTGACGAATACGTCCGTGCACGAGGGCTAGAACTCACCTTCTGCCCCATAATTACACAGATTGTTCATCCAACACCACTACTATATAATTCCAACGTTACTGTTCCAGAAAATAGTCAACGTAGACGATTATTCCACTTAAATTTCGCTTCCATTTCTTCACCACTCCGCCATGTTTTGCTTTGTTTTTCTTCCCGAATCCAACACAAGTGACGTAAGCGAGACGATTTTTTTTCTTTCATTCAAAATGTCAAAGTGGGTCGATAAACAAACGTCATCGTACTAAAATGGCAATCGTATCCACCCATTTAAAAAATAAATGTTTGATGATCAATTACTGAATATTACTCGAACTTTACATTTGTGAAATATTTTCAAAATAGGCTTATGATCGGCGACAGAAATATGGATATAAACAAACAATTGAAAATAAGATAACGTTGTTTACTAACTTGTGGGTGATGTGCGCTTTTGAGAATCCCTTGGATTATATACCTTGGGATGCATAATTACGAATAAACAGCCCATAATGACAGGCCTTATCCTTCTTGGTACCAGCAACAAAATCTTTATTGTTTGTAACAGAAAAAATGGTACGGGTCTTTACCAGCTGGCGTACACAAAGCCCAGGCTACATATGTTTTTTTACCAATAAAAAGGTACTAAAGGAAAATGACCTAAAATAAAATAATGAAAAAATCCATGAAAGTATGTTAATCATTACGTCATCATGCGCATGATGACGTCACGATTGAACTATGTAAATCAGTTAGGTAGTAGGCGCGCCTATACGATCATATTTCCATACAATAGGGAGGAACGGGTCCTCAGGCACTTTTTTCCATGCATTAATTAATTCTACATGCAATAATTTCTATCTATTGTATAGTGTACGAAATTGGTTCATATTATTAGGACATATAAATCGACCCATTTAATGACGATGTTTCTTGTGATACTCTTTGACAACTCTGCTATTGACTAATAAATTTAATCATAATAATTCTTAGCATCAATATTGATCACATTACACAGTTGTTTTCTATCTAATGTCAATATTATTGTGTTACTAGTGTTCAAAAATAACCACAACCAGTAGGATAGTCTTAAACATAACGACAAAATAAAAAAGTAACATTAAAATAAAAAATTTGAGTATCCCTACTACTACAAGTAATATTAGCGGAGCACATCCTACTCAGGACGTAACCAGGTGGGGACTTTTGTGGGTTTGGCCGAACCCCTCCCCCACACCCCCTTCACCAGTTTACTACTGCTACTGTATATTATTATCATACAGACACTATAGGCAACCACACTTCCCAGGAACCTGGTTATATGGACCTACTACCTTTGTGAGACGATGGATAGGTATAAAGGTAGGCCTAGTATTGTGCCTGTTTTCTTGGCCGTACATGATTTTTTTCTCAATAAATATTTAATTATTTAAATTATTTGTTAGTGGACTACATGCTTTACTCGCTCATAGGACATGACTAAAAGCATTATTTTCCCTATAGAGAAGATTATGGCTATAACATTATAGGACTATACTGTACATACAGCACAGTATGTAGTTGTACTGTACTAGGATTCCGGAAAGGTTCTGATCTATTAATAGCAACTTCACATTCGATATTGAGGGCGCAATGACAGTTGCATGTAAATAGATGATTTTGGTTGTGTTCCGTGGTCCAGGGAATAATTATGACCAGCCGCTATATTGTCATATTTGTATTGTTTAAGATCTATAATAATATTTTTTAACGATCAATTTTTTAAACATATTTTATAATGGTGATGGTGTAATTGTAGTCGTTTAGTAATGTACTTCGTATGAAGAGTTAAATAATTCATCTTTTTATCTTAACTTATTTCGTGTTGAAATAATGTTGAGGTTAGATATGCCTGTTTCGAGGTTTGTTTTGCTATTTCTCTTGCTGTTGAGCAAGTTCTTCTAGTTCTGGTTATGGTGGGTAGAGCCGACCTCCTAAGGACTACAAAAGTGTAGGATTATAACAGATGGGGTTCTTGCTCTGTATGAAGCGGATTCAATAAACATTTGTGTTTGCGTGTATAATAAATGAAAAATAATAAATTTACTTAATATTATAAAGTTCTTCTTCCGTCTCTCGCCATTCCTCTTGCTGCTGAGAGCAATTTCTTGCATGAGCAGATCAATGGATATGAATGGATAAGATTACATATCACACAAGCTGTAACTCCGTCTCTCGCACACGATACTCAGGACAGATTAAAAAAATCACTGATATATTTTAAAAAACAAAATTTATTTACCAAAAAATATACTCATCAATCTATATGTTACATAATACTCAATAAATGTACATAATATTATTTGTGAGATGTTTAGTTATAAAAACATAAAGTAGGCCTATATTTAGTTCAGATTGCACATAAACTGATAACAATATGATATACCGTACGGCACGTGGTATTTATATGTATTAGGCCCGGTCTTAGGCCGTCTTAGTATAATCATGGTTGCTTGTTTACGAAGAAACATTTAACGAACGGTTGAATACGTTAACATAATGAGCAGTATATTCTAATGTAATATACATTAAGTTCAAACCGAACATGATCTTACTTAAATATACGAGAAGTCGGAGCCTACACATTTGGATCGGATGAAGAGGAATTAGATGAATTAATTGACGAAGGTGACGATGGAAATGACGGAACATCACAGACTTGTTGAGCGAAACCGTATGGATAATCGTAGCCATCTACCCTGTTGTTAACTGGTGGCGCCCTCTGCCAATCATACTGGTCTTGCGGAAGCTGGTACGGAGTTGGTAGATGGTAGTCCATATATGGATAGTAAGGCGTCTCATAACCTTGAAAACCAGTAGGATAGTACGTACCATATGGCACGTGGCATTCTGGCTGCTCCTGTTACATAAATCAAAATTTAAAAAAAAAGTTAAAATACGATAGTGCAGCTTCCATGTCTATGAAATTATATATGAAACAGTTAGCAGCCGGGTTCCAAAAGAATCTGCTAATAGCTTTTAATGTTATTGATGTGCCGCTTGCTAACATATTTGAGGAAACAAAATTAAATTAAACTGTTCAGTATCCTATTAAAAAAACCAAATAAATTATTAACTAAAAAAACTTTTAGTACGGTAAGTAACTAACCTTAATGAGCGTTTTCGAATTGCTGTACATCATGGAGAAATCGATGTCATGCGCCGGTACGTACAGATCCTGAATAGTTGCCAGATTATCCACGGAGTTGGTTCCTTGCTGTGCCCCTGGATGACGTTTTTGTTGCCAGTGGTTGCTATGCGGAGATGTGTAAGGATGGTAGCGATGATGACGACGGGAACCATGATGAGCAGTGAATGAATATTGGTCGTAGTACCTATCGTCGTAGCGTTCCTCTGGTGCAGCGGTGTTGGTACCATGCGCCATGCGTTGACAGCTAGACATTTCAGGTGTAGGGTGGTTGAGTAGTTTGATTTGGTTGTCTGCAGCAGGATCGGTAGATGACTCACTCGATGCAGGAGACACAGGTGGAATTGAATCGGAGATAGGTGTGTGGTTAGAAAGGATTCGTTTGCTCACAACATCGTTCTCACATTTCTTCTTGCAATGTTCACATTCTGCATTCATTATCCAGAAGTTGTCTTTACCATACGGTCGACTGGAATGTCGCAGAACTTTAGTGAAGCATTTACTAGTAGATAGATTGTGTCTAACACTGTTCTTCCATCCGACGTATTCGCCACGAAAGCAAAGGAACTTTTCTTGCATGAAGTCGGTAATGTCTCGAAGAGTCAGTTTATCAGAAGATGAAGATTTAATGGCCATAGTGATCATCTCGACGTAAGAATAAGGTAGCTTGATACGGCGTTTGTAGTCTGGTCGCAGCTTACCCTTATTACCCCGTCGATTTTTTGAACTTGCATTCGATGATGTTTCCGATCCATTTGAAGAGCTGGTAATCGACACGGGAGATGCCTGGTCAAAGTCAGTGGCGCAGGTCAAATTGTGGAAGACAGACATTATTCAGGATCGGATCAAACTAAAATGATAACAGATTTCAGGAGCAAAGTAACTTTTTTCGATTAACTGTATGAACTCAATGAGCGATATGAACCTAGACAGAAGTTCGGTTATTTATATTCTCTGTCTGCTAATGTCACTGCTAACTCGGTCATCGATTTCTCCCTCGTGATCAGGTAACCTACGTAAAACAAAAGAGCGCCCATCTCCGATTGGTCACTTTGACGGTAACATTACGCGAGGCGCTAGCGGTGTAGGTTAGACGAGAGCGGTGGCCATTGTCTTTTATTGATAGACTTTAAACAATGGTGCGTTCACACCTTTTTACAAACCGTCAATCGTTTAATGATTTAAAATCACCGCTAATAGAGGCACATTTTATATTTCCATTTTTTTTTTTTTTTTTTTTTTGGTGCAAATAATACAAGTCTTACTTGTAGATTCCATATTAGGCCTATTAGAAATTTATTAGTACGGGTAGGGCCCTAATGAGGGATGACGTACCCGATTGGCTATCAACGAGTATTTTGCGCAAAATATGTAGGCCTACGTACATTTTAGTATATTTCAAATTACTACCAAAAAATCATTACATTTTAGCGATCAACTAAACTCTGAAAAATGTGTTTTAAAAATAATTATGATCAATATATTTCCATACAATGTTTGCGTTAAGTTTAATTACTTTCACTTATGCATCGTATGTTCAAGCAAAATTATCGAAACATTTATGAATACGAAGTAAAGAAAACAGGCTATTATTTTATTTTTTTAGCGTTAAGAAAACTACTCCCACCCAAAAAAAAAAAAAAATGAATTCAATATATAAAAAATAATGGTTTTGCTTACAGTTTTCGAGTAGAGTAATGGGCCGTCTTAATTGTGTTGAATGACTTACGCTCACGTTAATACTTTTAAAAGTTTCATTTAATTTGTTATATCGCTATGATCCCATTAACCCCGAGTTATTTTACAGGCCTACGACGAATTACTTTTTTTTTGTTTCATATATATTATTTTTTAGGTCTGAATCAATATTATATGAAGTATATTTGATTATTCAGATAATACTACCATTGTATATTTTACGGTCCATAAAAAGTTACATGAAATGGTCGTATACCCGAAACATTACTAACAATTCCAAGCAAAGTTTTAAGTCTCAATGCTTATATTCAAGAATTTTATTTGGTACAAATCCAACAGCATTTGCAAATATCTGTTGATAATTACAGTAGAACCCCCCCTCCCCCTTAAGACACTCATATTAAGGGGAAACGAGGGGAAATATATATTTTAATACTATACGGCCAACCCTTATTAAGGGGACACTCCTATTAGGTCTTATAAGTCTTACACTGATTTTTAAAACCATTTCTGAAGCCATCACTAACTTATTTTGCTCTTTGTGATGTGAATTGATAACATAATGCAAGGAAACAATTATGCAATCGTGCTGTAGGCCTATATATTAAATGGGAGTAGTTCTCTGACATAAAGTGACAAACAGTACGCTAGGGGGAGGGGTAGACAAATTTGTACACTCTTAGATAGGCCTATGCATAAAAGTGTTGATTTAAAATAATGATGCAATATGTAAAATAAATAGTAACATTATAATGTAACTATGGATATAATATTCATTTAATAAAGCAACCAAGTACATTGCTTTAGTGGACTCCACCAAAAAATGCAGAATGGTTTTGCAAAATCAACATTTTGTGGAGGGAGTACCGACAAAGAGTATTTGTACACTTGTTAAAATGTTGATAATTGTAAATGACCTCTAAGTTTACTTTGAGGCCAGGCCCTTCCATCCAACTGCCTTCATTGCAAATAAAGAATTAGAGAAAGAGATTATCATATCAGAATGTTTGTTTTATTGTTTTTTCACACACAAACTCAGAAGTAAATACATACATACAAAAAAAGCGTGTAGATGAAAACCGATATATAAGTTTGAAGACAAATTTTTATTTTAAGGCATGGTCACCATGTTAATATCAGCGTTATAATAAATAAAATGAGACATAGGCATATGTCTATTGGAATTAGACCTATTCATAATAGCAGGACAGAAATGGCTACCTCACAAGATACCTTCAACAATCTCAATATAGGCCTATCATATTATCAAAAACGCCTATTATCTATCCTTTATTAACCCTCCTACTACTGGGTCGATTATCATGAACTTTAAACTTTATAGAAAACATAAAAATACAACTGGAAGTTTTTAACTGAAATAGTTATTAGGCAAAATAAAAACCCCACAATAAAAACACTGTGGAGTTGGGTGCAGCACGTTTCCGATCGGTTCAGATAAATCATCATTACAAATACAATTTGGCCATATTATTTAGAAAACAATACAACTAGTATTATGTTTTGATTCAATGATAATGAATAAAGAATTTGCTAGTAAAGTTCGAAGTGCGGCGAACAATCAACCAACGCGGAGTTCCATTGATATTACCGACGATGTACACACGCGCATTCGCAAAAACCGTTAAAAGAATAAAAAATCGAATCAAATAAAACTTTATTTGGTCATTAAAACACAGGTAAAATGGAAATTCTTTTTCCACTGGCAAAGAACATGAAACATCAAAAAAATATTGTAAAAACATTAAAACACACCAGAAGGACAACAGTGACTAAAATTGGAAAGTTTTCTAACAATTTAAAATAATTAATAATCAGATTCATTTCAAACATTTTGCTCTATTCTTTTCTATTAAACAAATACTACGTTTTTGTTTTAAACGCCTATATTTTTTTATGTGCTATCCGACATTATACTGAGACATATTATACGGTAGTCCATATTTTTTATGAGCAGTTCATTATTCAAACTCATATAGATGTAAGTATAAGAAGATAAGGTAAACTTTGCTCCAAAAAAAGGAAATCAAGCACTCACATTACGCAATTGACAGTAAAAATATTAAAACAGTGATCAATTGCAGTAAATGCCTAATATAATATAATATATAATAAAGAGTGCCATTGATGGTACCGACGATAAACGCACGCGCTTTCGGAAAAAGCGTTAAAAGAATTCTAATAGAATCTAATAGAAATTGCTCTATTCTTTTCTATTAAACAAATGCTGCATTTTGGTTATAAATGCCTATTTTTGTATGTGCTCTCCGACATTATACAAAGACATAGTATACGGTAGTCCTATATTTTTCATGAGTAATTCAATATTTAAACTCACAGATGTACTTATAGTATAAGAAGATAAGGTAAACTTTATTGCTCCAAAAAAGGAAAATCAATACCGTACTCCCATTATACAATTATAGAAAATCAGGTACTTTAAATTATGCAATTGACAGTAAAAATATTAAAACAGTAATCAAATGCAGTAAATACATGATATAATATAATATAATATAATATAATATAATATAATATAATATAATATAATATAATATAATATAATATAATATAATATAATATAATATAATATAATATAATATAATATAATAAATGGCATATGTATATATGTTTATATATTGTAGTCGTTTAGTATTGTACTTGTGTTCTTTGTAATAATCTTAAATTTGAAGTATTTATATATGCAATACCGTACCTTTTTAAAATTTCTAATATAATGATTGTATTAATAATCATTCATGTTTTTATTTAAAACATCGTGTAATTGCCTATATCGCTGTTTGTCTTCCTCTTGTTGTTGAGTAAGCTCTTGATCAATGTTTGCGTATGATGCAAATAAGTGAAATAATAATAAATTTACTTCAACAAATCACAAAGCTCTCCCCTTTCGTCTCTCGCCATTTCTCTGGTTGTTTTTTGGTTGATTGATTTATTTATTTTCCACATAATGAACAAAAAACATATTCCGTACATAACTAAAACATATACATGATCAAACATATTTAAAAAAATGTATGTGGATGGAGACCACGATAAGTTTAAAGAAACTTTAAGATGTTGTTGAGTAAGTTCTTTTTGTATGGAGTGATTTCACGAGTGGAACAATACTAAATTTACTTATCACACTGTCATTCCGTCTTTCACACACGATACTCAGGACGACAGTATAAATAATTGAACAAAACATCACTGATATATTTTTAAAAAACGGTATTTATTTACCAAAATATACTCATCAATCTTTAACTATGTTACATAATACTCAATAAATACACATTAGGGTTAACCCATATTATATTTTACACTTAGATAATTGCATATAAAACATCGATATACGCCACTTAATATGTATATTAGGCCTACATTAGTCGTCCTTCCTATAATCACGTCGGCTCAGCCTGTTACAAAACATTTTAACGGTATCTGTATCTGTATCTGTAAAACAAATGCGCATCCATATCTGATTGGTCACTTTGACGGTAACGGTACGCGAGGCGCTAGCGGTGTAGGTTAGACGAGAGCGGTGGCCATTGTCTTTTATTCATAGACTTTAAAGAATGGTGCTTTCACACCTCTACAAAGCGTCAATCATTTAATGATTTAAAATCACCGCTAATAGTAGGCCTATTTTATATTTGCTTTTTTTGTGCATTTAATGCAACCATTATTTCTAGGTTCCATATAACTACTGATTTTTTTTTAACTTTCTGGCTAATACGGGTACGGTAATGTGGGAGGGATGACATACCCGATTGGGCATCATCATGTATTTTATGCAAAACATGTAGGCCTAATATTTCATTACATTCATACTTAACATTACTACAACATTACGGTACATTTTACCGATCAACTGAACTCTGAAAAATACATTAAAAGGATGACCAATGAATTTACATACAATTTTTGCTTTAAGTTGTTGTAAGTATGGGCCTATTAAAATGCTAAGCCGGCCATCCTAAAAAAAAAAACAATATAGTGGGAGGCCTATAATATATTGTCTGGTGCGGGGATTGCATACATAGGGCCTATTATTATGTCATGAAAAAAGCACAAAAAAGAACCTGTGTCAAGCAATCAAACGGGCCATTGATGGTACCAACTTTATACACATGCGCATTTACAAAAAGCGTTAAAAGAATAGAAGATCTCATAGAAATTGCTCTATTCTATTAAACAAACGCTGCGTTTTTGTTATAAACGCATATTTTTATGTGCTATCCGACATTATACAAAATATACAGTATACGGTAGTTCCAAATTTTTTCATGAGCAATTCATTATTCAAACTCACATAGATGTACTAATACTATAAATTACGTAAACTTTATTGCTCCAAAAACGGAAATCCGGTAAATGCGTAATATAATATAATGTAATATATTATACTATAATAATATAAATATAATATATATAATAATATTATAATATAAGAATATTATATATATATATATGCCTTTATACTGTAGTCGTTTAGTATTGTAATTGTGTTCTTTGTAATATAGTGTAATGTTTCGGTATTTATATATGCTTTCAATACAATAACTGTATTAATAATTAATAATTTTTTATTTACAGAATTTTAAATGTTTTCATATATTGCACTTAAGGCATCATGTAATTGCCTATATCGCTGTTTGTCTCCCTCTGCCATTTATCTTGTTGTTGAGTAAGTTCCTGTTCTCTATGTCAGCGTGATGAGTGAGATAATAATAAATTTACTTAAATAAATCACAAAGCTCTCACACTTCGTCTCTCGCCATTCATCTTGTTGTTGAGTAAGTTCTTGTTCTGTATATCTGCGTATGATGAGTGAATTAAATAATAAATTTACTTAAATAAATCACAAAGCTCTCACTCTTCGTCTCTCGTCATTCCTCTGTTTATTGAGTAAGTTCTTGTTCTGTATGGAGCGATTTCATTAGTGGAACAATACAATTTACTTATCACACACTGTCACTCCGTCTCTCACACACAATACTCAGGACAGTATAAATAATTTAACAAAACATCACTGATATATTTCAAAAAATGGTATTTATTTACCAAAATATACTCATCAATCTTTAACTATGTTACATAATACTCAATAATATTTTACAGATATAGTTGCTTATAAAACATCGAGGGGCCTATTTATTTATATACATTGCACATCGACTGACTGAACTGATAAAATATGATATAGGCCTAAGTCACTTATATGTATATTAGGCCTACATTAGTCGTCCTTCCTATACGGCTGCCTGTTACAAAACACTTTAACGGTAACTTACTGTTAATATGATTAAAACAGTATATTTTAATGTAATAATTACGGTCTAAAAATTATCTTTAGCCTATTTAGATTAAAAGTCGTAACAACCTAGAACAATCATTTGACAAAAGAGAAGCTGGAGCCTACATAGCTGAATCTGATGAAGAGGAATCAGACGAATGAATTGACGAAGGTGACGATGGGAACGACCGAACATCACAGACTTGCTGAACGAAATCGTATGGATTTGGATGATGATTTACCCTGTTGTCAACTGATGGCGCTCTCTGCCAATCGTACTGGTCTTGTGGAAGCTGGTACGGAGTTGGTAGACGGAAGTCCATATATGGATAGTAGTAGGGCGTCTCATAACCTTGAAAACCAGTAGGATAGTACGTAGAATATGGCACGTGGCATTCTGGCTGCTCCTGTTACATAAATAAAAAAATATAAAAAATAAATTAAAATACAATTGTCATACGATAGTGCATTTTCTATGTCCATGAAATTATATAGGAATCGGTAGCCGAGCTCCAAAAAAATCTGCTACGTGGTATGTTGTTGGTGTGCCGCCTGCCAACGCCTATTTGAGGAAACCTCAAGAAATTTAATTAAACTGTTCAATACAATATTCAGAAAAAATAAACTAAATTATTAACTTAAAAATTGTAATACTGTAAGTAAACCAACCTTAATGAGCGTTTTCGAATTGCTGTACATCATGGAGAAATCGATGTCATGCGCTGGCACATACAGATCATCAAGAGTCGCCACGGATTTGGTTCCTTGCTGTGCCACTGGATGACGTTTTTGTTGCCAGTGGCTATGCGGAGGTATGTAAGGATGATAGCGATGATGACGACGGGAACCACGATGAGCAGTGTATGAATATTGGTCGTAGTACCTATCGTCGTAGTGTGGTGCAGCGGTGTTGGTACCATGCGCCATGCGTTGACAGCTAGACATTTCAATTGTAGGGTGGTTGAGTAGTTTGGTTTGGTTGTCTGCAGCAGGGTCGGTAGATGACTCACTCGCAGCAGGAGACACAGGTGGAATTGAATCGGAGATAGGTGTGAGGTTAGAAAGGATTCGTTTGCTCACAACATCGTTCTCAAATTTGTTCTTGCAATGTTCACATTCTGTATTCATTGTCCAGAAGTTGTCTTTACCATACGGTCGATTGGAATCTCGTAGAACTTTAGTGAAGCACTCACTAGCAGATAGATTGTGTCTAACACTGTTCTTCCATCCGACGTATTCGCCACGAATTGGTTTGGTTGTCTGCAGCAGGGTCGGTAGATGACTCACTCGCAGCAGGAGACACAGGTGGAATTGAATCGGAGATAGGTGTGAGGTTAGAAAGGATTCGTTTGCTCACAACATCGTTCTCAAATTTGTTCTTGCAATGTTCACATTCTGTATTCATTGTCCAGAAGTTGTCTTTACCATACGGTCGATTGGAATCTCGTAGAACTTTAGTGAAGCACTCACTAGCAGATAGATTGTGTCTAACACTGTTCTTCCATCCGACGTATTCGCCACGAAAGCAAAGGAACTTGTCTTGCATGAAGTTGGTAATGTCTCGAAGAGTCAGTTTATCAGAAGATGAAGATTTAATGGCCATAGTGATCATCTCGACGTAAGAATAAGGTAGCTTGATACGGCGTTTGTAGTCCGGTCGCAGCTTACCCTTACCCCGTCGATTTGATGAACTTGCATTTGATGATGTTTCCGATCCATTTGAAGAACTGGTAGTTGACACGGGAGATGCCCTGTCAGAGTCAGTGGCACAGGCCAAATTGTGAAAGACTGGTGACACTCGTTCTTGGTCAGACATGATTCAGAATCAAACTTTAAATAAAATGGTTTCAGGAGCAAACTTAATTTTTTTGATTAACTGTACTAAATGAACTCAATGAGCGATATGATAATTTAGACAGAAGTTCAGTTATTTATATTCTCTGTCTGCTCATGTCACTGCTAACTCGTGGTAAGAAAAAAGAGCGTCCATCTCTGATTGGTCACTTTGACGGTAACGGTACGCGAGGCGCTAGCGGTGTAGGTTAGACGAGAGCGGTGGCCATTGTCTTTTATTCATAGACTTTAAAGAATGGTGCGTTCACACCTCTACAAAGCGCCAATCGTTTAATGATTTAAAATCACCGCTAATAGTAGGCCTATTTTATATTTGCTTTTTTGTGCATTTAATGCAAGCCTTATTTCTAGGTTCCATATAACTACTGATTTTTTTTAACCTTTCTGGCTAATACGGGTACGGTAATGTGAGAGGGATGACGCACCCGATTGGGCATCATCATGTATTTTACGCAAAACATGTAGGCCTACTATTTCATTACATTCATACTTAAAATTACTACAACATTACGGTACATTTTACCGATCAACTGAACTCTGAAAAATACATTTAAAAGTATGACCAATGAATTTACATACAATTTTTGCTTTAAGTTGTTGTAAGTATGGGCCTATTAAAATGCTAAGCCGGCCATCCTAAAAAAAAAAAACAATATAGTGGGAGGCCTATAATATTTTGTCTGGTGCGGAGATTGCATATTTTTATAGGGCCTATTATTATGTCATGAAATTATAATTTTACCATATGCCTAACCATGGTGGAATTAGTCTAATTCTAGACTAAATTTTCTATGACTTTACTGACATTGCCTTATCTTAATATTCTTCGGTAGGCCTATGTAGTATTTTGCTCTGTCCATATTTTATTTGCGTAGGCCTATGTGACAATCAGTGTGATGTGCCCGTAGGCATGATGAAGTCATATAACACCCAAATATGGGAAAATTTAATTTCACACAAAATGTAATAATAGTGGGGGCAGAGCTTGAACGACGTTCTGAGGTAATTCTCCGTTTGTCTTACAGATTTTAATGTTCCCCCTAACACTGGCGAACCTAAGATCAATTGACATGAAAGAGTGGGGAGGGGGTGGATAGACCATCATCGTCGTCGTCGTCATCATCATCATCATCATTATTATCAATCATCATCAATATTCACATTTTTATTCAAATTGTATATAATATAATATAATTGCGATAGCTTCACGTAAATATAATTAGTAGGCCTACATTTTTTTTATGTCCAATTTTTATTTGGTAAAATACTGATTGACGTGAACATTTTTTGAAGCAATCATAATTTACAATTGTTGTTGTAGATTTTGTGTCAGACGGGAAAGTAAATGTGAGGAGTTAGCCGGAAATGGTTAAGCCTACACATTTTTTTTCTTGGAAAATTTCTAGCCTAAGGAGGTGCAAACTTATCCCTCATCGGTAGCGCATAAAGTACCCACCCCCACCCTCTATACACCACTCTTATTTTTATCCTATTCTTAGGCTATTCTAAACATTATTCGTACTCTAACATTTTTATAATAAGACGTATGAGACACTCCATTACTGTTTATGGCATTATTACAAAACTTTAAGACAAAAACAAAACTAAAAAATATATATATTTAAAAAGGACTAAAAAAAAAACAGTATTTTTTTTTTATAAACCTTCAAGATATTGTAAATTCTTATATTATAATTTTGTAATACTGTATATCTTTTTTGTAATGCAACCTATTTCAGCTCTTTACACATTTTTTTTCTTGGAAAATTTCTAGCCTAAGGAGGTGCAAACTTATCATTCAGCGGTAGCGCACAAACTACCCACCCCACCCTCTATACACCACTCTTATTTTTATCCTATTCTTAGGCTATTCTAAACATTATTCGTAATAAATTTTTTATAACATAAGACGTATGAGACACTCCATTACTGTTTATGGCATTATTACAAAACTTTAAGACAAAAACAAAACTAAAAAATATATATATTTAAAAAGGACTAAAAAAAAAACAGTATTTTTTTTTTATAAACCTTCAAGATATTGTAAATTCTTATATTATAATTTTGTAATACTGTATATCTTTTTTGTAATGCAACCTATTTCAGCTCTTGCTGCCAGTTTGTATTTTTATATTTTATACCGAAATAAATTTTAAAAATATATATATACACACATATATATAAAACAAAACATTAAAATGTTTAAAAAATCTTTACCAGCATGCTGATTGCTCAGAACATATATACTGTAGTGGGCCAAAATTTAAGTAAATGTAGTAGGATATTATTTAAAAAAAAAGTAGAAGTAACCAAGGCTTGAGAGACCAAAATGTGTTAAGAAACTTATTAATTGGGTGGAATGTAATACAAAGTTGTCTAATTTTGATAAACTGTATGTTTTGCCAAACCAGCGATACGGTATATTCATGGACTTATTATATATTAATGCATAGAAATAGGTTTGTGTATCGAACTCAATGCGATTGTTCAAGGTTCAAGCCAGTATCAAAAGGGTATCTGTATAGGGCGGAGTGTCTTGCGACGTTGTTTAGTTTCGATAAACTATATGTTTCGAAGCGGTAATATAGAAGAATTACATATGCAATGAAAGTGCAAGAGGCGTTTAAGGTGTCAAGAACAATTTATTTAGGTGGAGTGTCGTACGAAGTTATTATTCTCTAAACTATTGGAAGGATCTACTGTGTATCTAGATAAAAGTTTGACGAGAACTAGACTTGACTGCAACAAGGGAGTTGTTATAACAACTCCTTGCTAGCTAAAACTATCACAATTTTAATTATAAATTATATAATTTATTTGTTTGGTATTTATTTCAAAAATAAAAAAAAAACAAATAAAACATCGCAGCAAAAATACTGAATTGAGTTTTAAATTCACAATGAGAAAAATAGTCTGAAATTTGAAGTATTTATATATGCAATACCGAACCTTTTTAAAATTTCTAATATAATAATTGTTATAATAATTAATCATGTGTTTTTACAGTATTTTTAATATATCGCTGTTTGTCTTCCTCTTGTTGTTGAGTGAGCTCTTGATCAATGTTTGCGTATGATGCAAATGAGTGAAATAATAATAAATTTACTTCAACAAATCACAAAGCTCTCCCCTTTCGTCTCTCGCCATTTCTCTGGTTGTTTTTTGATTGATTGATTTGATTGATATATTTATTTTCCACATAATGAACAAAAAAAAAAAAAAAAAAAAAAAAAAAAAAAAATCATATCCCGTACATAGCTCACATAGCATACATGATCAAACATATTCAAAAAAATTTATGTGGATGGAGACCACAATAAGTTTAAAGAAACTTTAAGATGTTGTTGAGTAAGTTCTTTTTGTACGGAGCGATTTCATGAGTGGAACAATACTGAATTTAATTATCACACGTCATTCCGTCTTTCACACACGATACCCAGGACGACAGTATAAATAATTCAACAAAACATCACTGATATATTTAAAAAAAAAACGGTATTTATTTACCACAATATACTCATCAATCTTTAACTATGTTACATAATACTCAATAAATACACATTAGGGTTAACCCATATTATATTTTACACTTAGATAATTGCATATAAAACATCGATATACGCCACTTAATATGTATATTAGGCCTACATTAGTCGTCCTTCCTATAATCACGGCTCAGCCTGTTACAAAACATTTTAACGGTATCTGTATCTGTAAAACAAAAGAGCGTCCATATCTGATTGGTCACTTTGACGGTAACGGTACGCGAGGCGCTAGCGGTGTAGGTTAGACGAGAGCGGTGGCCATTGTCTTTTATTGATAGACTTTAAAGAATGGTGCGTTCACACCTCTACAAAGCGTCAATCGTTTAATGATTTAAAATCACCGCTAATAGTAGGCCTATTTTATATTTGCTTTTTTGTGCATTTAATGCAACCATTATTTTTCGGTTCCATATAACTACTGATTTTTTAAACCTTTCTGGCTAATACGGGTACGGTAATGTGGGAGGGATGACGCACCCGACTGGGCATTATCATGTATTTTACGCAAAACATGTAGGCCTAGTATTTCATTATTCATACTTAAAATTACAACATTACGGTACATTTTATCCATCAACTGAACTCTGAAAAATACATTTAAAAGTATGACCAATGAATTTACATACAATTATTGCTTTAAGTTGAAGGAATTTTCACTAGGCATAATCCTTCCTCGCATCCTGACTCAAGTAAATATATAT